CGTGGCCACAGCATTGCTGAACGCGGGCGCAGATCCAGCGGCGCACCACGGAGACCCTCGGATGGGAAGTTTCTCGAGCCAGGAGCTTGCACGGCGCTCCGGGAAAGATCATTTGACAGATCTGTACGAAGCCCATGTCCGTTGCTGATTGTCTTACCCAAGCCAGCAGGATGGATCCCAAATAAATATAAACCAGGGTTTATAATGTTCCAGGATTATTGACCTGGGTTCTTAATGTCTCCCCCAGAACACTGTGAACCTGGGTTTCAATGTCTGGGAATACTGACTGGGGTTCATAATGTTCCCCCCGGAACAATATAAGCCCTGGTTTATAATGTTCTGGGGATATCGACCCCCAAAAACATATTAACCTGGGTTCATAATGTTCCAGGAATATTGACTGGGGTTTACAATCTCCCGGGAATAATAAACCCCGTTTTCGGAATTCCGGAATGATAGTGATTTATTTTCCCCCCAACCCCCGGGTTTCCTACCAGGTTTTTCATGTCGGAATATTGACCCCAGTTGATTATTTCCAGGAGATATGAACCCGGATTCATAATGTTCCTGGAATATTGATCCCGGGTTATCTATTCCGGAATGATAATGATTGATCCTGGGGGGCGCCGTTTGAGAGTACGCTCCGGATTGGTATAAACCTTGGTCCATAACGTTGGGATATTACACTTCGGTTGATTATTCCGGAAAGATTGATTCGGCCAGGGGGGGTGAGCCCGATAAATTATTGACGCTTCGCGTATCCCCACCAGCCCATCCAGAAACGATGTCCAGGCAAGTTGAAGAGATCAGGGAAGCGGGGGAGCAACGAGAGGGACAGCCGATCCGCGCAAAGGATGAGGCGGAAGAGGAGGCCAGACGGATAGATGAGGGGGTGGCGAGGAACCGAGCGAAGGAGGGATGAGGAGAATGATGACGCTGGGTGGATGGTTGTATGCCGCTCGGATGCCTCTTGGAAGCCTTTTGGAAGCCTCTTCGGGCGTCTTGGGGGTCTCTTGGCGGTCAATGGGGGCTCTTGGGCGTTTTGGGTGCTTCGGGGGGGCCTCTTGAGGCCGCTTGGGATGGGGGGCTCTTGGGGGCCTGTTGGAGGCCTCTTGGGGCCTCTTGGGGGTCTCTTGGAGCTTCATGGCGGCCTCTTGGAGCCTCTTGGAGGCCTCTTGGAACCATCCTGGGAGCCTCTTGGAGCCTCTTGGGGGCTTCTTGGGGCCTCATGGCGGCCTCTTCGGCCCATCTTGGGGCCATCTTGGCACCTCTTGGGGCCTCCCGGGCGCCTCTTGGGGCCATCTTGGAGGCGATCGATCAAAGAAGAGGGTGGGGTTAATTAGCCCTGCCCCCCCAAGGGGCCAAAATGGGGCCAAAACCCGAGTAAAACCGATGATTGTGGCTTCCTCGCCGAGGCCGTTTTGGACGCTCTAACTACCAGCGGACCCCCCCGTCCAGGTCCAGGGGAGGGGGTTAGCGGGAGGGGTGAACCCCTCCCCGAAGGGGAAGTGGAAGATGGAAGAGGAAATTCCCGGAACCACCTACGCCCAGAGGGCTGGTGGGATTCACAGGACAATAATCCATAGGGCATCATCTGAAGCTAAAGAACCTAGGTTTTCATTCCTAGATAATCAACCACGGTCGACGAGGATTTCGGAGGTGACCTCCAAGCCAGGCCATCTCGGGAGCGTGGCGCTCTGGAGCCTGCCTTGATGGGGCCCTGGAGATGATGTGCGGCATCGATTGCCCAGGCCTTAGGACCCGACCTGGAACCGCTTGCCTAATTACAGTTGCTGCAGCCTGTGCCAGGTCGGATTGCTGGGCCGTGCATCTCTGCCGCACCCGGCTGCACGTCTTTCTATTTCGCCTCTCTTGGTCGGGTGCCGAGTCGAGCGGCGGAGGCGTCCCCTCCTCTCGCATCAGACACTTCTGCGCCGTGCATGCCTTCTACACCATGCTGCGGCCTCGATGCCCCTCTGCGCCATGCATGTCTTCGCACTAGCTGTATGCCTTTGTACTTCGCCCCTTGGTCGGGTGTCGAGTCTAGCGGCGGAGGCGTCCCCTCCTCTCGCATCAGACACTCCTGCGCCGTGCATGCCTTCTACACCATGCCCGGCCTCGATGCCCCTCTGCGCCAGGCATGTATTCCGCACCGGCTGCATGAATTTGTATTTTGCCTCTTGGTCGGGTGTCGAGTCGAGCGGCGGACTCGTCCCCACCTCGGGAAGTCACTCCTGCGCCGTGCATGTCTTCTGCATGTCTTTGTATTTTACGCCTTGGTTCGAGCGGCGGATTCATCCCCGCCGACTGCTTGGCTAGAGGGTAGTTAGACTACGGTTCGCGGTGCGGACCATGGCCGCTTCATACTTTGGAGTCCGCCCGAGACTGCACGACTCCGATTGTAAAGACGATTAGGGGAACACGGCATTCCCTCACACTTTAACGCTCAGTGGCATGGACCCTCTTCTCTCAGCTTGATGCCTTCCTCCCATCATGCTCTCACATCTTCCCCCATTTACAATGTTTCCCATCCTCCTCATTAATACCCGCTCGGTGCCGTCCCGGGTCGCCAGGTTGCGGGAAGTGCATTCTCGCATCCGACGTCGCATGGACGAAGACTGTTTTTGGGTTGATCATAGTGTGTAGCTTACGTTCCAAAGACTCGTCAAATGGGCTCACACATGAGCATGGGTTGAGGCCTCTAGACTAAGAGGAAGAACAGGTGATGAGGAGGGCACGCTGATTGCCGCAGCAGCAATCGCACTATTGATCTCGCGCCTCGCGCAACGTTTGAGATCCGACATTGGTTCCTAGATAGCGAAGCTTACGAGCCAGGGCCGCGATCCCTCCCTCTCCCGATCTACCCGCCCTGATCCCGACTGACTATGATGGTCTCCTTTTGGGCTCCTCGAAATCTTCTGTCTAGACAGTGAGGCGCTGGGCCATCCAGCATTCTTCCTGGCGCCCGCCTCGGGCTCATCCCTCCCCCCTCCCCCTCCGTTCCCCTCTCCTCGCAGCCCTCGTCCAACCGTCCCACGAGCCCGGCCAGCAAGCGAAAGCCAAGCCTCGTCGCGTCAGCGGGGGCACCCCGAGGTCGGCTCGGCAGAGGGGCACGGCCAGCCCGCACGGCCTTGCACACACTCCCGAGGCACTAGATTTTTTGCATTGGGACCGCGGAGCGGCTGAGGCGAGCGACTCGAGCATATATATATATATATATATATATATATATATATATATAAATAAATGTTGCAAAGTTCTGGAAATGAGAAACCGCCCTAATAGCACCCCAAGAGTGCTCCAAGATGCGCCTTTACGCAAGCTCCGAGATGGCGCCCAGAGGGCATCCAAGGCCCCCGAGAGCGCACCAAGATGGCTCCAAGAGGCGCCCCACGAGGCCCCCCAGAGGCCCCCAAGTGGCCCCCGCGATCGCTGAGAGGTCCCGCGCGTTTGTTGACCCCCCCCCCCCTGGGGTTGTGGACCCCCGCTGGCGGCCTGTGGAAGCCTCCCCCCGGGGGTCCGTGGCCGCCCGAACCCCCTGCAGGCTGTGGAACCTCCCCCCAGGGGCATGTGGACCCCCCCCCCCTCCTCCTCCTCCTCCTCCTCCCTCCTCCTCCTCCTCCTCCTCCTCCTCCTCCTCCTCCTCCTCCTCCTCCTCCTCCTCCTCCTCCTCCTCCTCCTCCTGCGGGCTCGTGGGATTCGCTCCGGGGGTTGTGGGATTCCCCCCGCAGGCTCGTCGACTCTCCCCGCGGCTCTGTGGAGCCGCCCACGGAGTTTGCGGCCCCCCCCTCGTGGAACCTCTCCGGCCTCTGCGCCGGTGGCTCCTCCGCGGGTCTGTGGAGCTCTCCTGGGGTTGCCGGTCTTGGGGCATGTCAGGGCCGGGGCCCTCCTGGGCAGCGTCGAGGCTCTCTGGGGGGGGGGCTGCTTGCTGAACCGTCCTGGGACGGTGTTCGCGGCTTTTTGGGGGTCCGGGAGTCCTCCGGAGGGCTGCGTGGCTGGGTGGCGGCCCCAGGCCGGCGGCCCTTCTCCGCCCTTCGCTGGCCCGGGCTTTTGTGGGGGCCGCTGCGCGGCTGGCCGGGCCTTTCGCGGCGGCCGGGCCCCGGCCGGCCCCGATTTTTTGGGGCCGACCCGACCCGATTTTTTCGGGCCTGTCCCTCTACAGGAGGAAAATGCAATCATAGTCGAACAAGTAGTCAGGGGACGATGTTTCGAACATTTTTGCATGTGTCTTGATTCTTTTTTTGAGTGTGTCGAATGTTTCACTCAGCATCCGCCTGCAGGGGGACGCGCCCGACCGAACAGTAGGGGTCAGTGCGTGCCCCCACGCTGCATCTCTCGGCGGCGAGCGCAAGGGGGGGGCAGGGGGGGGCGGGCCCTTCCTGGAAGGCTCGGAGGGCCTCCCACCTTCGGAGCAGTTTTTTCTGAGCCGTTTCCCAAGACAGAGATGGCTTCTGGGGGGCTTCGGAGGAGCCCCGCCGCTTTTGGGAAGGTCTGCCCTCTCCCCCCCCCCTCCCCTGGACTCGCTGCCGAATCTTCGGGGGACCTTGTCTGTCCCCCCAAGTTGAAGTCTTTTCGTGTGCCCGGCGCCGGTTCGATGCGGACTCGACGCGGACGTGGCGTGGATTCGACGCGGATTCGACACGGATATCGAAGAGCACAACATGGATTCGGCACGGATTCGATGTGGATAGGTTCGCGACGAGACAGGCAAGGACCCCCGCAGAGGCAACATTTTGTTTGAACGCCCCACTCAGTGACTCGCCTTTCGGCGTTTGCCGCGGTGCTCTTCTCTGCTCTGTTGTGCCCCATTGTGCCCCGCGCGCCGCTCTGCTCTTGGCCGCTCAATATCAGCTCTGTTGTGCTTTGCTCTGGTATGCCAGGCTCCGATGCACTCTGCTGCGGTCCTTCGCTCTGCTCTGCTGCGCCATGCCTGATTATGCTCAATATTTTTTCGAAACAACGGAAACAAACATCATAAACACTTGTTTGGCGGTCCGCCCAGATTTCTTGGATGTTCGTCGGGGCCCTGTTGGCGCGCTCCGCGCGCTAGGGAGTGGGGTCTAGCGCGGATCCAAGAAATCCGTGTGGACCGCCAAAAATTGCGGTTTATTCCCAAATCAGTGCTTGCAGTGAAGGGGTCCTAGCGGAGGTTGAAAGATTTAGCGAAAGTTTCCCGCCGCTCTTGGTGGCCGGCTGAGTTCCCGGGTTCCCAGTTCCGGGTTTGGTTCCGGGCCGGTTCTGGTGGGCGGCGGGCTTCCCGGGTTCCCAGGTTTTTGGTCGATCTTCTGATCGATCGGTCTAACCATCGATCTCATGAGCCACCTCTCTATCGATCTCACCATCGATCGATCTCAAAATCGATCTCACTATCGATCCCACAGGCGATCTCACTATTGATCGCATGAGCGATCTCGCTATCGATCTCACTATCGATCTCATTCCCCACATGTTTCGTGGGGTTCTGGTTTTCTTCCCTGCCGCGGCGCACCCGCGTCTCACCTCACCTCACACCTCATCTCCTCTCTCCTCCTTCCTCTCCTCACCCGCGCTCAACGCGTGCACGGCAAGTACATGAGACACGCGTCTACATACGGCCGCGCGCATGCACACACTCGCACACAGCACACACACCATACAACGCTGGTGCGCGCCTGGCGTGATCACTGCAGCGTCCATTGAGGCGTGTGCGCGACATAGTGGGCACCCACATGAGACACGTCCCGATATAGCCGCACACGCATCATACACATACACATACCATGCCATATACAAGACGTGCGTGTAGGATTCGCAGTGGATGGCAGGAGGCTCTGTGCAGGCCATGGCGCAGGGCACGGCAGCCGTGGCACTTTCTCGACACCACAGGGGGTGCGCAGGGGGTGGTCTCTCACCGCGGTCTCTATACGCGCCAATGTCGCAGGGCCTAGCAGGCGTGGCACTTTCTCGAGACCGCAGGGGGTGCGCACGGGGTGGTCTCTCACCGCGGTCCCTATACGCGCCAATGTCGCAGGGCTTAGCAGGCGTGGCACTTTCTCGACACCGCAGGGGGTGCGCAAGGGGGTGGTCTCTCACCGCGGTCCCTATACGCGCCAATGTCGCAGGGCCAAGCAGGCGTGGCACTTTCTCGACACCAGAGGGGGTGCGCAGGGGGTGGTCTCTCACCGCGGTCCCTATACGCGCCAATGTCGCAGGGCCTAGCAGGCGTGGCACATTCTCGACACCGGAGGCGGTGCGCAAGGGGGTGGTCTCTCACCGCGGCCCCTATACGCGCCAATGTCGCAGGGCCTAGCAGGCGTGGCACTTCCTCGACACCAGAGGGGGTGAGCACGGGGGTGGTCTCTCACCGCGGGCTCTATACGCGCCAATGTCGCAGGGCCTAGCAGGCGTGGCACTTCCTCGACACCAGAGGGGGTGCGCAGGGGGTGGTCTCTCACCGCGGTCCATACGCGCCAATGTCGCAGGGCCTGGGGTGCGCAGGGGGTGGTCTCTCACCGCGGTCCCTATACGCGCCAATGTCGCAGGGCCTAGCAGGCGTGGCACATTCTCGACACCAGAGGGGGTGCGCAGGGGGTGGTCTCTCACCGCGGTCCCTATACGTGCCAATGTCGCAGGGCCTAGCAGGCGTGGCACATTCTCGACACCGCAGGGGGTGCGCAAGGTGGTGGTCACTCACCGCGGCTCTATACGCGCCAATGTCGCAGGGCCTAGCAGGCGTGGCACTTCCTCGACACCAGAGGGGGTGCGCAGGGGGTGGTCTCTCACCGCGGTCCCTATACGCGCCAATGTCGCAGGGCCTATTACGCGTGGCACTTTCTCGACACCGCGGGGGGTGCGCAAGGGGGTGGTCTCTCACCGCGGCCCCTATACGCGCCAATGTCGCAGGGCCAAGCAGGCGTGGCACTTCCTCGACACCAGAGGGGGTGCGTACGGGGGTGGTCTCTCACCGCGGTCCCTATACGCGCCAATGTCGCAGGGCCTAGCAGGCGTGGCACTTCCTCGACACCGGATGCGGTGCGCAGGGGGTGGTCTCTCATCGCGGTCCCCATACGCGCCAATGTCGCAGGCGAGCCTTGGCGACACGGGACACATGCACGGAGTTCTTCCCGCGCACGTGGGCATGGAGGTGAGTTTTACCGTCAAGATGTCCAAGCGCAAGAGATTGATCCAGGAACAGAAGGCCACCATCGTGAGCCTCGTGTTCGAAAGCAGCGGCCAGGACAGGTACGACGCCTGCGCCCCGGGAGAGATCTTCCGCCCGCGATGTCTGCCTGCCGGAATCTGGATGCAGGTGCACAATTTCGAGAAACAGAGCCCGGACGTGGTGAAAGCTCTCGTCAATTCCTCCGGAATCCAGCAGGAGAAAGCGAACGGCCTGTTCTGCTTCCCGCTCATGGAGGCGCACTTCAAGTGGCAGAGCGCCAACATAGTGCACAAGGACAAAAGGTTTGGGTAGGGTACGCGCTCACGCACGGGCGCTTCCTGACGCCCACCGCGTCACAG